CATTACATAGGCATAATGTTTTTATACTGTACAAACTGTATATTCTATCCCCTTATACTAACCCTACCCATCACACAATTTTTTTTTTGGAGATTTTGGTCATTTCTGGGAACAAATGTCCCCAAGATATAGTGTCTCTCACACACACAACACACACAAAAAAGGTATTTGTTTGATAGACTTCTTATTCTTATTAAACTACTTGCATATCCAGATCAACATTACTCCAAGATTTAAATAAGGTGCAAAAATAATTATTTTTATAAGAGCATCTAAAAATTATGGATTACATTTAAATTTACTAAGTGCATTGAAGGAAGAAATTAAAAATAGATACATATCAGCTTAGCTAAGAAAATGAAATTTTAGCATAGTGCATAATAAATTTAACATCAATTTCTGTATACTTTCCCATTCTTTAACTAGCAATAATAGTGATATTTCAGATAGCTACACATTTAAAATCGCTTTCTAAATTTAGTTTAATTCTACCAGAATGTTTGTTTACACTATTCCACTTAGACTCTCAGTACTTGCGGATTTTTGTTTTTATGAAACTAAAATGTAATGCTCTAAGTTTGTGAATAGCAGATTTTACAGGAAATCAGTGAATATTGTCTGAGGGATAATGTGGAAAAGGCTACATGTAGATAATACAATATCATAGGGTTAGAAGTTTAAAGATTTAAAATAAAATAAAAAATAAATACAAAAAACAATTGTAAAATAATAGTTTAAACATACAAAAGTTCAATGTCAAGCACACCAGGAAAAAAAATGTATACACTGCATTAATATTTGCATGCAGAAAATCATTAAAAGTGTAAAGCAAAATCCGGAAAACAATGCACAATGCAAATCATGTCAACACTATGGTTTTCTATATGCTTAATAGTGAACGAAAGAAGGTATATCACATCATACATAAATACCTGATACTTCACTGCACAATGTCTTAGCCACACGGTCTGCCTCACTGGCAAAGAGAGAGATGATATCATCTTCCAACTCTTCCACAATGCTTTCACACTGCAATATACATTTAAAAATATAGTTAGCATTCTATAAGCATGTTGACAGAAAATAAGCAGAAATCATTCACAACAGTAAAAATAAATGAACACAGTAATGGGCAGCCATCTTTAGTGCTATAGTGTTAGCAAGTCTGCCATCTTGGACGGTTCACGAGGCAACTTGCAGGCAAATGGCATGAAGTAATTTTACTCTGGCCTATAATTTCAGTCATCTTGTAAATAAAAAAATAAAATAAAAGTCCAAAATGAAAGCTTACATTAAGCATGACATAAGCATGTCCTATAGACCTTGATAATTTGCATTTAATTAAAAATAATTAACAGCAAATACAACAAAAAGTAAAAAAAAATATATATATATTTATTGTAGAGCCATGTCATTTTGTTTAGGAATAAGACAGATATCAATGATCATGCAATACGTAAAGTTTTCAAAGGGTTTTCAGAAAAGAAAACCTGTTTAATAAAATATGATTTGTAACCGTTATAGGATAAAAAAAAAAACTAATGTTAATGTAATTAATGTAATGGAAATTGTATGATGAACTGGGAAAAAAATACAAATCTATACAATGAAAAATATATAAAATTGATACTCACAGCAAACTTCAAGGCACTGGAACTCTCTGGACCATCAAACTTAAAATTTTTGAAATCCGGAAAATTCCCGGCATCATTTCCTCTGGGTGCAAATCTCTTGTAGCTCTTCTCTTTGGTGTCCGGGTCCTCATAGAGAGCATAATCGCTCATGCTATTGCAAACTTCCTCCAGTAGTTCAGTTAAGTGAGTTTCAGACCTAGCAAGAGGAACCTATCGGAAAAAGATTTCAGAATAAAAATAAATAAAAAATGTAGAAAATGTTGACTAAATTATCAAATCACCCCTTCTTTTTTTTTAAACAATAAAAAAAAATCTTAAAAAAAAATAACAGGGCGCCGAGGTCACTTAGATGACCTTTTCCTTCCGTTCCCATTTAAACACATCCCCTGTGCCATGACGCTGACTTTTAACCTGTATCTCCAAAGTTGCAAAAGTAGATCCCCTTGCCTTGGCAACAGAACAAAAACACACTGTGGTGTCTAGACAGGTCAAGGTGCACCCTGCTCCCGCCCCTTTGGCCTCCCCCGGAAGGAGAAAGGGGAAAGGGTGACGGGGGGCGGAGAAAGTGAAAGGGCTGGAGAGCGGGGGGTAAGCAGTGGGGAGGGGAGTTGTCAACAGCAGCCAAGTGCAGGGTAAACAGTGGAGTCCCATCCTTTGGTTCTCTTGGGCAGCTCATCTCTTCCACCCTCCAATGATCAAAGCAGGAAGTCTTCCTTGTCAGGCCAGTCAAAGGCTGGCGGGGTTGGGGGCGAGGGGGTTATTGGAAAGAGGACAGGTTGCAGATGAGCTGGATTTTCTTGCGATGTAGATATATCCCTGACCCCATTGTCCCCTTTCAGACACAGTATGGACCCTTCCGGTCTCACTGATTACATTATGAGGGCGTCTCTACCCCCTCCACTCTTGTGAGGCTCGGTGACATAAAGAGGCTTCCGTGGCTCGCTGCCATCTGGTCACAAATAAGATAAAAGGTCCCATGGAAGGACAGCAACCTATCCACACATCCCCCATCTTTTTAATTAAAAAGCTGAATGCAGATGGATGGACTGCAAGATAAGACAATTTATGAACGACTATGGGTGCAAAAATCTTTGAACGAAGGAGCCGATCGCTTGACTATCGATGCAGGATCATGAAAAAATTTAATATTGTTCACCAGGACTTTTAATCGGAGCATAATTAAACAATGTGGGTGTAATGTCATCCTTAGCATAAAAATGGATTATCATATTTGAGATCTACACCAATTACACTTTTAAATTCAACTCATTAAACTTTAGGACACTTTAGGCTAACCACCAGAGAACAATAAGAGAGATTCTTTCATGCACAAAAGTCCAAAAGCAATAAAAAACTTGCCTTTGGATCTAGCAGAGGATGGCTTGTGTGCCGCATCCTCTGCCGAGTCCTTATCATGCAATCCTGAAAATGGTGGGGAATTAAATTCCTCCCCGTAACAGTCTGAAGGGTTTGAATAGAAGCTGTCAATAAAGAATTTCTGTAGGAATAAAGAGAGGGGGGGCTAGGCGGCCCAGGCAGAGAAAAGGCTTCTCAGGGATGCCATCCTTCACTGAATTCCTATTGGAGAGCCAGGCATCATTGTAGTATTGGGACACAGGGCATTTTTGCTGCATTAATTCCCAAATTTTGTTGTTGTTAAAAACTCTGAACATGCACACACACACACAAAAAAAGCATATAGATTAGATATAGGACCCAATCAAAAGTTTTCGTAATTATTTATACATAAATCGACCTTTTAGCAAAAGCAGTCGAAGGTTGTCTTTGGTGAGTCTGCTAAAAACATGGGGGCGCATCGCAGGGGTTCACCTACAGCTTCTGGGCAAGTGGACCAAGCCAAGTATGAAAAGAGAAACAGGGAGGGATTTGGGGAGCTTTAATTAGCATTTATTTTTAAGTGAAGCCACTCTCAGGGAACAGTGAGCGAGTTCTGCTACACTGCTTCTGCTTTGCTTCCTTATTATTGAAGAGAGATGGGATACTCAGGAACCAAAGACCAAAGCAGTCAGATGGAAGAAGTCGACAAGGATCGTGCTTCATTTTCCGGCACCTCATGGTGGTTACGTGCGATAAGTAAACATGCTTGACGTTTAACTTAAACTGTCTCACTCTTTACATTTATCACTCGTTTACAGCAGCAGTTAAGGCTCTCTTTGGACTCGTTACATATGGCGACACGGTTCTAGAATCTCACCCTTAGCTTTCCACTTGATCTGGAATGAAAGATGAAAACTTGATATTGACCAAAATCATGATGTTACAGCTCCCTGAGCAGCAATTTAAAGCATAATATGCAATTAAAACCCAAATTCCTGACTTCACCTCAATGAGCTGATAAATGACAAATTAAGAAAAAAGACAGATGCATGAAACAAAAAACTAAGTACCTCATTAATCAACTGTTTCAACTGCACTGAAGCAAGACACAAAATATTTAACAGGTTTTCTTTCTAATCCCTAACAATACCTGTATGTTAGTTTTTGTTTTTACCTAGACAGTGTACATAAATCCATATTAAAATTCAGGCTTGATGAAGTTCTATCATCATTTGGGGCAGAGCATTACTTGCGTTAACGTTTCGCATCATACAGGCTGACAAACATTTTACTCAGTTGAAATAGCCTGAGAGGTGAGGGGAAAAGTCAGAACTGAGCAAACACTTGTTATTAGGCAGCAGTTACAATCAAAAAGGGATTAACCCCTAATCAATAGTGGAGTCAGGGACCTAATGACAGTCCCTGGATACCAGGGGTCAGGGCTTAGAGTTCATTGGGTCTGACCTTTACATATTGACACCACTGTTGAGAAGGAAACAGTGAAAATGGCTCCCTTTACTCAAGTAAACAGAACAAGCTTTTAAACACCAGGAAATATTAAAGAGCTAAGAAAGGCAACTAAGCACTAAATAAATACACAAATCTCGAAGATAAATACAATTAAGTACTTAAGGAAAACTTTAAGTATAATCGTAGAATATTTTCAAACATTTATTCGTCAGTGTTTTTAATAAAAATATCTCATAATAAATGTAGTGGTGGTGAAGACTGCAAAACTGGGGCACTAACAGGAAGGATACAAGCTCTAATCTAAGGACAGTTAGAACTTTTCACAATTTATCGCTATCAATTTTGTGCTCTTGAGCAAGACAAACCCCAGGTTACCTGTCTGCATTACCCTGAACGAAGAGCAAATGTTGCTGTTTAAAAAACAACAACTAAGCATTACTCTTCTGCATCTGATTCAGACACTATTAAAAGTTGTTTTGTTGATAATTGTAACTATTTTTGTAATTTATTTAGGATTTTCTAAACTTTATACTTGTTAAGAAAATTACCGATTTTATCGCCTTATCGATTTTAAAATGTCTCCGGCATGATAATATTTACATACAGACAAGGTGATCGGTTTTCTTAAATCTATTTGCATGCTGGATAACGATTGGCCTTGTCTCTTTCATTTGTGCCTTCATCAGGCACAGTGGTTGATTCTTATGTGCAGAGCACAACACAGAACCCAAGTGTAAAACCTAAATGTTTCAACAACTTTGACACCATTCTCTTGTTGCCTTGCAAGCACTGAAATTTCTATCAGAAAAACTAGCTCACTTCGAAACTGGATTCAGCATTGGTTGTGAGCAATTAACACCGAATCACACCTTTTTGTCTGTAAGACTTCCGTCGGGTTTAAGTCTGAATCCACCAACATGAATCATCTTTTTTGGATCAGTTTGACTGATTGAATAGTTGAGCTCCTCTGCAATCGCCACACAGGCTAAAAAAAAAAAAAAAAAAAAAAAAAATCATTACAATCATTATATAATCATTTAAACCTCAATGGTAGACAAAAAGATACACATTTAAAAAATTACAGGCTTATTTTTTTTTTAACTAACAAAACTAACACAATATCTTGTATCTTGGAAAAATACTTAAAGTAAAAATATTTCTAGCAGGAATGAACCTTAACTTTGTATAATAGAAACTTTGTATACGCACTGCAATAAATATGTCTAAATCACAATTTTAAAGCAGTATTTATAGCAGTAAATACAGCAACATTACTATGCTTTTTTATGTTGGATGGCTACGTGTACAATTAATGAACTTAGGTTTTTAATCATGGCTAGTATTTAAATAATCTGAACTAGAATCAATTTTTTTTATCAATGAATTGTACATTTTTTATAATTTTTTTACCTGCGTGCACTTTTTTTTAATGGAAAAAAATGCACTAGCTATGCTTCTGGTAAAATCTTGAGTTTGCTGGTGCTTAGTCATGCTTGCTATATTTCCATGGCAACTGTCAAACCTGGGCGGAGCTTAAAGTAGGCTTTATCTGAGCCAAGCTTTGCACCCCTTGACTTTCCAAAAAAAAGCTTGGTTCTAGCACAAGTTTTATTATTTCGCAATGCAAGTAAAATTTATATTATACCCCAGCAGGGCTTTTTTGAAAGAATCTTAGTCTTTCCATGTGACCAGAATGGAATACACATCTAAATTGTACATTTACCAAACAAATTAACTTCGGAATCCTCTGAAAGTAAGAAATGAACTCTATTCACATACAAGACAGTAGAAATAGATTGTTTCAGTGTTGGTTTCATGTTGGCCTTTCAAAATATTTCTATATGATATTTAGATTTATGATTAATCTGAAAATTAGTCAACAAAATAAACCAATTAGACATATTTGCTTGACTAAATTTAGAACAACGGTTTAGGTTGGAAGACATTTATAATTGGAGGCAAGTTTTAAAAAAAAATGTGGAAATTACAGTAAAAGAACATCCATCGACTAAAGACTTGTACTGAAGATAATATTCATACTGTCAAGTAATTACAACTATAATCTAAATAAGCTTGGAACAAACAACTGAAACTTGCACAAAACGATAATAAAATGTAGCCCTTAAATATGACAACACTTATGTTGAGTTTTATTGTTTTGAAAATTTACAAGTAATTTGTGAAACCAAAACACAGCTAATAAAGTAAATAATGCTGAAAGTTGTGATAAAACATACACATACATTTTGTAATTAACACGTTATGGAAGAGACAAAAGTATGGACTATTTCAAAAAAAGTGAACTTGATCAACTCCAATTTAAAACAATATACATTTATTATTTAGAGCTCACTCCAAGTACTTTGATTATATCAAAGTCATGCTGACAAACGCACTAAAATCATTATACAATTTTAAACAAATTTTTCCAAGATGAGATAAAGGAAATCAATAGTATTCTTAATTATAGCAATACATTTAACTTCATGCAGATATTATAAGCGTTTAAACAAGTGGTGTAACGTAGGTCACACATGAATAAAATCTGCTCTACCTACTGAAAGTTTAACTTAACAGGCTTAACTACAGTTCATCTCAAAATGGAGGCTATTTTTTGCAGACATACTTTTTAAACAAGCATAATCAGTTGGGATTGAGCATGTGGTTGTTCGCCGTAAAATATTTTAAAAAGATAAAACATATGGAAGGATTTTAATTGTTTACAGGGCATTTTAGTCAGTGAAAAAAATTAAACCTGAATGAAACAACATTGTTGTACATGTTGCACTAGGAGAAATACAAATAAGTTTCACCCTGTTCAGTTTATGGCTTCACTTTGAACTTAAAAAAAAAAAATTCAGAGTAGATATTTAGTAAATTTGGTATATAGCAAGCCATTGTTTGTCTTTCCAAAAGGTCAAAGGTTTCCTGGATAAATTAAGTGAAGAATTGCTCAATAAGAATCATGTGGGGGTTGGACAGAACAGAACCATTTATAAAAAATATTGCTGAATATAATTATGTGAATTAAGTAATTATGGGAAAAAATACTAAGACAATAGATAGATGTATGGCTAGCCTAGCCATTAATTCTTGATCAAACTACTTAATGATTCTGAATAAATTAGCATTTATTGCACATGCTCCCATTTATCTGCTCTGATGTCACAAAATGCTTAAAAACATGGTGACGACAGTTTAAAAGAGAGTGGAAATTAAATGTAATAAATGTCTATAGGAAAAACTAAAAAAAAACTGGGTAAATGTGTTGTAGAGACCAGCTCAATCCTCACCTACTATAGCATTACAAGTAATCTCTCTGTGTGTGTGTGTGTGTGTGGAAAGGCCACATAACATTAACTCACCTGAACAGTACAATGCTTCATCTTTCTTTGACTCTGTTGAACTGGGCAACATGAACACTGCCACAAGAACAAGGCAAATCTGATTAATCCATGGTGACATGCTGGTCTCCTGAATTAGGAAAACATGGATTAATGGAAATTGCATTATTCCATTTTATATAGACACTCACATTCTGAGCAATTGTACTGAAAGTACTTCACAATCTTACAATAACCAACAGAAAAAAATCCCAGTTTGAGTGAACAACTGTATAATTGTGTAAAATATCTAACTTTTAAGCAAACACTCAGCTATTATACAAATATATCCAAATTGGCACACACAAGATAGCCAACGGTTTGGGTCTATCAGCTTTGCATACCGGTATATTAAAAATAGTGTCTTGGTGTTCAGAGGGCCCGTTTGGACAAAAATATGGGATATATTACATGGCGTAAAACATCAGTGGTCTACTAAGGATAACAAATCTATGAAATGCCACAATTACAATGAGCACACATTTGGCATATCTTTTTAAACAAACAAGTTTCTCTGATGACAATGAGTGTCAACATTACTAAATTCTTTGAATGGGACTAATAATGGTCTGAAAAAGTATGTGGCATTTCACTCAAGAGAGAATTAAAAAATACACAAGCCTTTTTAGTAATGGTTGGAATAGTGAACACCAAGAGAAAGTATAATGCTATAACACACCTCCACCTCACTGTATTATTTAAAATGCCAAGTTGTCAAGCTATAGCCTTAAAAAGCCCCTTATTACATAGTTTCTAAGGTGTATGCATATTAGTCTTGAAGTTCTATAATCAGCTGACTTTACAATCTTTAAAAAAATAATAATTTCTGAACGAACTGGCGGGCCCAATTGATCAACACTACTATTTTTCGTCCATCAACTACGTAATTTCCTTTTTAAAACTAATGTGCTGCTAACCAAAACAGTGACTCATCACAATATTCCCCTCTGTCATTTAAAAGAGTTAGGATACTAGTCTAAATGAGAGTCAACGCTCTGAATACTCCGAGTAAAACTTGCTGCTGCACAAAATCTGTTCATGTGTTCTGACAGCTGCACCTGTTTCGTGTGTGTGAGAGTAAATTAGCAGCTCCTCCAAAAAAAACGAAAATAAAGAACTAAAATGGCTTAACTGTTACATATTAAGGACTGGATAGGGTACTGGCCAACCTATAATTTTACATTCATTATATCAAGACATCATGAACAGTCGATTAAGTGTTTCCTGTCTTACCTGAGACGTGAGAACAACAAAAGGTGAGTGAGGTAAGTTAACTTAATGGTAAAAGTTTTCGTTGCTACAAAAAAAGAAGAAGAACAAACTGAGGCAAACTAGGGTACACGTTAGATACGAGGTAGCGTACACAGAAGCTCAACAATCCGTCTGAAAATGAATTACAAACGCTCTTCCTATACAAAAAGCCAAGACTATCTACGTGCCGGTCCGTCGTGCTGCCACGACCAGCAACCTTGCTGGTCACAATGAGAATTGACAGCCGCGGCATCCAATGAAATCACAGAATTCTGACTTTTATCCAATGAAAGCAAAGAATGCCTAGACATCAAATACCCGGATGAGAAAGTTCCCAGACGCCACTCGACCAGATATCATTAGTGTCAATCAAGCATGGTAGGAACTTCCTTTTACTGTCTATAGGTAGGAATCATCTGTTTTTAGTACCTGCAGTTATGTGAATAATTCCATGAAAGAAACTAATCGGTTTTCAGTAAAAAAAAAAAAAAAAAAAAAAAAACATAAAATACTTTGTTTTTGTAACAACTACTTCATTTGTTGCCGTTAATTAACAATTGCAGTGTGCTAAAATAGTAACAAAATATCATATTGTTTTCTATTGGGTAAACAGAGAAGATCAAGCTGCATGGGAGGTCGTAATAAGGTAACAGATTTCTATAAATTAATCAATTAAATCTAAATATTGTTGGAACTTATACCTTCTATTTTGTGAAAACTACTATAAAAAGTTTGTTTTATGTAAATTTGCATGGCAATGGGATAGATGAAGTTACAGAATATTTAAAATACATGAGTATATATATATATATATATATATATATATATATACAGTCATGCTCAGAATTAATGGCACCCCTGATAAATATGATCAAAACTGGCTGTAACAAATAAATCTGGGGGGGATGGGTCAAATTATGAAATAAATGTTTTTCTCCAAAACACATTGGCCACAATTATTGGTACCCCTAGAATTTTTTATGAGTAAAATATCTCTGAAGTATATTCCCATTAATATATACCTTTTTTAGCACACCAGGGTGACTAGGAACATGAAATTGTCCAGCCATGACTTCTTGTTTCACAGGAGTTTAAATATGAGGAAACACAAAGGCCAAATTCCCATAATCATCCATCACAATGAGTAAAACCAAAGAATATAGTTCTGATGTGCATCAAAAGATTGTTGAGCTTCACAAAATAGAAAGTGGCTGTAAGAAAATAGCTACAGTAAAGCATTGAAAATTCCCATTTCCACCATCAGGGCAATAATTAAGAAGTTTCCAATCAACTAAAGATGTTACGAATCTGCCAGGAATAGGACGTGTGTCTATATTGCCTTAATGGACGGTGAGGAGGAAAGTTTGAGTGGCCAAAGACTCATCAAGGATCATAGATGGAGAATTGAGTTGAGTCTTGGGGTCAGAAAGCCAAAAACAAAACAAAAACCAAACAACCCCTATCACCACATGTTGTTTGGGAGGGTTTCAAGAAAAATCCTCCTCGCTCATCCAAAAACAAACCACAGCATCAGTTGTCAGACATGACTGAAACTTCAAACGGCACAGGGTTCTGTGGTCAGATGAAACTAAAAATAGAGCTTTATGGCATCTTTAATGTTGTGGGCATATTTTTCTGCTGGAGGTCCTGGACATCTTGTTCAGATACATGGCATCGTGGATTCTATCAAATATCAACAGATAAAAAATCAAAACCTGACGCCTTCTGTTAGAAATCTTATAATGGGCCGTGGTTGGATCTTCCATCAGGACAACGATCCAAAACAAAAATCAAAATCAACACAAAAATGTGTTAAGGAGCACTAAATGAAGCTTCTGCCATGACCGTCCCAGTTCCCTGACCTGATGAGTGGAGTGAACTGAAGAGAAGAAGCAGAGATGTTATCTTGTCAAAAGGAGATTGTAAAAAGTATTTAATAAAAGGGTGCCAATAATTGTGGCCAACGTGTTTTGGAGAAAAACATTTATTTCATAATGTGATTTCCCCCCCCACTTTCAATTCTTTTACTTCAATGAAAGTTAGATTTTTGGCAATTTTTTGAATGAAAGATCAAAAGGATAAACAACGCAGATTTATTTTTTACAGCCAGTTTTGATCATATTTACCAGGGGTGCCATTAAATTCTGAGCACGACTGTATATATATATATATTTAAAATACATGAGTATATATATATAGCAGTACCGGTCAAAAGTTTTGAAACATTACTATTTTTAATGTTTTTGAAAGAAGTCTTTTATGCTCATCAAGCCTGCATTTATTTGATAAAAAATACAGGGTATTATCATACATTTATTATCAATGTTGGAAACAGTTGAGATGCTTAATTTTTTTTTAATAACCTGTGATACTTTTTTCAGGATTAATTAAAGAAAAAAAGAGAAAAATAACAGCATTTATTTAAAATATAAATCTTTTTTTAACGATATAGCCTATACTAATGTTCAAAAGTTTGGGGTCAGAAATTTTCCTTTCTTTTTTTTTGAAAGAAATTAATACTTTTATTCAGCAAGGATGTGTTAAATTGATAAAAAAAAAGTGGTAGTAAAGATTTATATTGTTAGAAAATATTTCTATTTAAAATATATGCTGTTCTTTTTATTCATCATTGAAACCTAAAAAGGTATCACAGGTTCCAAAAAAATCAGCATTATTATAATGATTTCTGAGGGATCATGTGACACTGAAGACTATAAGTTGAAAATTCAGCTTTGCATCACATAAATTATATTTTAAAGTATATTAAAGACCATATATAATATACATTACACACACACACAATTTTAAATGTGTGTTTTCAAAAGTTGTTGTTTACATTTTTTACCCACAATCCATTGCATATCTCCCTTTTTTATAACTTTTCACATTTGAAACCGTTAGTGTACATCAGGTCAGACAGGCTGTGTATCATATATTATGGAAAATATTCACGGTAGGCAAATTGTCATTGGGTTCCTCGTCTAAAACCACACTATATTATTATTACCGTACAAGGTTTCGTAGGTGGTTCACGGATCACGGTGCTCGAGTCGTTAGCCACGTAACGTTAAGTGCTGAACATTGCTCTTCCATGTTTCTTGACACTTTCAACTGACAAACAAAAAAACAATAAATAAAGTGCAACGCTCAAAACATTAACTGGGACGAAAACGGGATTTAAAAAAAAACTGTACGCCTCTCTCTAAATGAGTAACGTTACTGCGCAAGTGCGCACGCATGCGCAACGAATAATGTATCATTTTACTGCTCAAATATTGCACGTTTATGTTTTCTTAAACACGTAGGGCTTATCTATTTCTGAAATAGACAGTATTATGTGTGCAGAAATGGATTATTAGTAGGCCTATTCCTGCATTGCACGTTCTCTGGTACATTTTCTTGTATTAAAACCACTCTTGGTGTGCCACGGCACGCGCCTTAATTTTAATTCAAACATAAACAAACTGATTTATTCTCTTCACAGCGAACAATGAGGGTTATGACAAACCTGGCAGAGAGAGGTCCTTCAGAGGGAAATATCAAGTTCCAGATATGAACAGGTAACTTAATGCTGCTATGAACTAATTTTGAGTTCAACGGCCTAATGGACTGTGTGTTATCCAAGCTGTAATAATGGATATAATAACATAATGACTATCTAGAAATAAAGATGTCTAGTATTATATACAAGACTATTTATATTTATTGCCATATAGACATGAACATGGTAGAGCATGTACACATTTGATGTATGTGTGTATACATTTCAAAGTGTTGAATTGTGCTTTTTAGGTAACGTAAAGCTCGTTTATTTCTGAATATGCCTGAATAGTTGACAGCAAGATCAGTATGTTTCTAAATGGCTCTTTGGTCTTGCTGTATCTTCTTTACTTTCAAAGTGATTCAGAAGAAGGCGTTCTTGTGGATGACTGGCTGACATCCAAACAAGTGAGTGCTTACTGTACATCCAGAACACTGCTTAGATTTGAATAGATTTAAGTCTGCTGTCTTACACTTAGATCTCTGAATCTTGTCTTGGAGATCATGTGAAGTGATTGCATTCTCAGAGCACAGTATGACATGCTGATAAACAGCAGTAAATATCTGTTAAGATGCCAGGTCTCAGGTGATGATGTCACATTCTGCCTCAGGATTGTGACAGGTGGTTTCTTCACAGGGCCAGCTGTCCTATTTTTTTGCAGCTAATGGTATATTATCTGCTAAATGTGTCCTACGGCACAAATACAAGGTGTTCTGCGGATAAAGGGACCTTACTACTAGAAATAGCCTTAACTGTGACAGGTTTGAGGTCTCTTGAGGATTGACCAGATCTTAAGTGAATGGAACTGCAAAGTCTTCACATCGCTTTAATAACTGAGAAGACTAGCTGAATAGAAAGTAGCAAAAATATTCGCGCCCCAGGACCGACGTTACCTACCCCTGCTTTAGATTATTAACGTTCTGAGCATGCTGTATTCCACAGATGTGAGATTTATTTAAAAATGCCAATAAGTATTCAATTGGATTATTTGACAGTATTTATCATTTTGCCAATAATTGTAATAATTCAGTGAGATTTTTGTATGCACAAAGAGTCTGATAACAGCCGGCGCTCCACGCGGAGATTTGATCTCACCATCATCGAGTCTGTCTGTGATTACATGAAGAAGTAGAAAAACTGAGACAAACTAAATCCAGAAGAACTGCGGCAATGTCTCTTGACGCTTGAAGAAAACTACCTGCAAAGCTACCAGAAAAACTATGTGCAAGCAAGTGTATCTGGACAAAAGCTGTTTAAAACGCAAAGGGTGGTCACACCAAATATTGATTTGATTTAGTTAATAGAAGTTAACTGATGTATAAAATCTATTTATGGGATTATTTTTGAAAGCATCCTCACTTTACAGCATTTTTACACAAGTGCCTAAAACTTTTCACAGTACTGTAGCTGTGAAGGTAGGTTTCTTCAAGCGTCTTGGAGACGTTGCCACAGTTCTTCTGGATTTAGTCTGTCTTAGGCCCTGTCCACACGGACACGGGTATTTTTATAACCGTGACTTTTTTTACGCGGTTCGGCCGTTCGTCCACACGAAAACGCACTGAAACCGAACATTTTTGAAAACCCCTGCCAGGGTGAGGATTTTCAGAAACGCCGGTTACAGTGTTGTCGTGTAGACAGTGAAACCGGGGTTTTTGCCTTGCGACGTCAGAGTGTGCGCCGTTATCAGCTGTGTTTGACATCAGATTTGCGCTTCTGATTGGCCAACGTGGCTTTAGGGTTAAGGTTTATATCACCGCCTGCTGGCGTGGCATGCTCTTGACCGCGCTTGATTGCGTGTTTTTACGTTTTCATGTAGACGGAGACCGAGCATGTGTGGACGGGATTTAAAAAAAAAACGCTGTAGGAAAAACTCCGGTTATAAAAATACCCGTGTCCGTGTGGACATGGCCTTAGTTTTTTCTGTTTCTTCATGTAATCCCAGATGGACTCGATGATGGTGATCAGGGGCCCGTTCTTTGTACGTTGCTAACTCAGTTAGCTGGATTTGATTGTTGACAATTTGTCATGATCTTGGATTGTTTGGTTCTTCGACGCTCATCCTGGACTTGCTGTCATAGCAAAAGGTCCGTAAGCTTAAAGACCCACTCCGATGAAAATAATGTTTTTCTAGGTGTTAACATGTTCTTGTGGAATTTTTCTGATGTTAGAGGACACACCTTGAGAAAAATAAGCTCAAAGTTGTATTTCTGAGTATTTCTACATTCAAATGGCTGTGAATCAGTAGCAGACGCTAAAATGCCGGCTAAAATAGACTGGAGTTGTGACGTAGTAACTCCACTGGGCGTCTCCACACGCGACGTCTTGGAGTGAAATAATGATCGGTGATCGGTGATAACTTTGATTAACTTCGGATAATAATAATTAACGTGCATATAATACTGTTGCCCCACCGGTATTGGGGGTGTAAGCTAGCGGGAGAGACAGAGCTCTCAGCAACGGGCAGGGGGAGGGTCGTCTCCGTGCCAACGGCTCCGCCCACAACGCAGAGGCGAATTGCTAAAGAGCTACTGCCGCTCTGCTGAAGCGAAGTCCCAGAAAACGGCACAGGTTTTGTGATTTTGGCTAAAAATGGCATAATCATAATTTAAAGACCACTGGGAATGTTTAAAAATAGCTCAAAATATGATCGGAGTGGGACTTTAAACCTGCTCGGGAGCAAGCTTATTTCATGTAAACAGAATTAGATTGCCACTTTTTAAGCGGCGTTGATACTTAAAATATGTCCCAGCCACTGCTACTTTATTACAAGGGTTCCTTACTGAACCAGAGGCAATTATAATGTAAAATAATAATATAAAATTAATTTGAAAATAATAATGTTGTGTAGTCTATATACTATAGTATAGACACCGCCAGTGATTGAGAGATTTATTTGTGATGGAATAATTGCTTTATAATTTTATTGGAGTCTTACATTCTTTACAGTTAATCTGAGCCGTGCTTTAATTGAGTGGTGACAGATATTATGGGAGTGGCTTGATGCAGCGCAGGGGATGCAGATTGCAGATAACTTGATCTTGACCCTTTAGAAACTTTAATTAATGCTGTCGCATAACAAATCTGCTTCAAAGATAAAATTAAATTAATTGCTAATTAGAACATTAAACAAAATAAAATGTAAAGCCTGTACAAATACTAGAAATTGGGAATCATGTAAAAAAAAAACCCAAAAAAACAGTGCACATTTCATTTATTTATAACTTTTATATAATTTTGGTCGCTTTCTTTATAAAGGTCTAAAAATTCGTCCTGTGTTTCGTCAGGTGTCTTTTTAAAATATATGATGTCATTACGTAGCTGTCTTGCCGCCAGCCAATCACTGCATTGCTGATCATGGTTTTTCGAGTATCGATATATCTGCCCTCTTCAGGGAACATACGAACACACAGTATTCTCAGACAATTTAATCCAGATATTTTAATAAAATCTGCAAATTTGTTTGAAGAACCAAATTAGCCAGAGATCAGTTATCACGATTAGAAGCTCTGGCATCTGTCAAATCATCTCAGATGTATTAAACGAGGTACGAAGAACGGACCCCAGATCTCCTTGTGGATCATAGGCTTGTTTTGGTTGTCAGACTCTTTCACAATTTCACTGGATTATTACAATTAATACCAAAAGGAATGTTTTGAAATGTAAACTGATATTTACTACTGACACACTACATCAAAATATATAACTGGCTTAAAGTTGCAGTAAGCCATTCTTGAAAAACGCTGTTGAAAAGTGGAACGGACCGAGCACCAAAACACTCTTGTAGCCAATCAGCGGGAAGGGGGCGTATACACTCATGATGGGCGAGGAGAGAGAGCTAAGTGCACAAGACAGACATTAGCAGAACGACTAAATTGCCAGGGGAATACAACTTTAAAAAGAAGGGTTGTGATCAGGCAAGAGGTAGGACCTACGTTAATATTGGAGAAGCTTGAGCCTGAGGTGCGAGAAGGCCTGAAAATGGACGTCGATGTTGCTTTATTTCTTCTCAATACGTGAGTAACGTTGGTTTTGCTGTGTTTCACAGAACGAAGATATGCTGTCGTTTGCTTGAATATACACTCTAGGGTTGGGCGATGTCTACCAATTTGGCATCAGACGATGTCTACAGTGAAACATCGCGATGGACGATGACATCGGGGGGAGGGGAGGAGGAGGGGGGTAATTTTCGTAATATTCGCATTTTCCACTAGATATTTTCCTCTATATCTCATCAGCAATTTCGATGTCGGCAGCTCTGCAGCAGCTGAGCACTAAGAGCGAATGTACAGTGATGTGACATAACTGGCAGATTCAAACTGGGTGCTTTCGCGCTATGGCTGGCGCTGAGCCAAAGACGGACGCGCTCAGCGCTTGTCATAGGCTATATTACAACTGTTCAGTGTTTTTAACCACATAATGTTTATTTTAGGTTTCAGACATTTAAATACATATAATCTATAGCAAAACAATACATTTATAGTTTGTAAAATACACAATGGTGTCTATGGAAGCAGCAATAACAACCCATTCAAATATATTTGACGACGGTTTTTATTCATATCAGAGAGACACAGTGTAGCAGTAAACAACTATAATGTCAACTCAATTTTTCTCCCAGTTCACCGGCCACTTATGCCGCGTTCCAGGCAACCTGTAACCCGTGTTTTTCCAACTCGTAACTGGGAGTACATCGTTCCAGGCAACCTGTAACCCGTGTTTTCCCAACCTTATACCCGTGAAAGTGCACTGGAACGGCAGTCAAACCCGTGACTTCCCACCCGTGAATTCGTACTAGATCGATGTACTCCCAGTTGAAAAAACACGGGTTACAGGTTGCCTGGAACGCGGCATCACTTTCATGTATTTCGGGAGAAACTGGTGAATTCACGCGCTGTTATAAATCCACCATCTCTGAACTGCGGCCCGAACACGGCGCCCATCTCAAGTTACAGATCAAGATAATTTATAAAGTTTTTTTAAACGACAAAAACTCACTTACACATATTTGAGAATCGGAATAGAAGATAGTTCATGACATGGTAAGCAACTTTGTTAATATTTAGAAATAAAAGCGCTAAATCTGTCATACAGCGCTATTTTGGCTGTGGTGAATCACGTGCCAAGCATGACGCGTCACCATGGAAACGGGACACACGATGTTTAGCCGATGCCGTCTAAACATCGTGATGTCTGTCAGCCATCACGATGGACGATGATATCGTCCATCGGCACAACCCTAATACACTCCCCTAAAGGATTATTAGGAACACCTGTTCAATTTCTCATTAATGCAATTATCTAATCAACCAATCACATGGCAGTTGCTTCAATGCATTTAGGGGTGTGGTCCTGGTTAAGACAATCTCCTGAACTCCAAACTGAATGTCAGAATGGGAAAGAAAGGTGATTTAAGCAATTTTGAGCGTGGCATGGTTATTGGTGCCAGACGGGCCGGTCTGAGTATTTCACAATCTGCTCAGTTTCTGGGATTTTCACACACAACCATTTCTAGGGTTTACAAAGAATGGTGTGAAAAGGAAAAAGAGCTCACCAAAATTGGACCGTTGAAGACTGGAAAAATGTTGCCTGGTCTGATGAGTCTCGATTTCTGTTGAGACATTCAGATGGTAGAGTCAGAATTTGGCGTAAACAGAATGAGAACATGGATCCATCATGCCTTGTTACCACTGTGCAGGCTGGTGGTGGTGGTGTAATGGTGTGGGGGATGTTTTCTTGGCACACTTTAGGCCCCTTAGTGCCAATTGGGCATCGTTTAAATGCCACGGCCTACCTGAGCATTGTTTCTGACCATGTCCATCCCTTTATGGCCACCATGTACCCATCCTCTGATGGCTACTTCCAGCAGGATAATGCACCATGTCACAAAGCTCGAATCATTTCAAATTGGTTTCTTGAACATGACAATGAGTTCACTGTACTAAAATGGCCCCCACAGTCACCAGATCTCAACCCAATAGAGCATCTTTGGGATGTGGTGGAACGGGAGCTTCGTGCCCTGGATGTGCATCCCACAAATCTCCATCAACTGCAAGATGCTATCCTATCAATATGGGCCAACATTTCTAAAGAATGCTTTCAGCACCTTGTTGAATCAATGCCACGTAGAATTAAGGCAGTTCTGAAGGCGAAAGGGGGCCAAACACAGTATTAGTATGGTGTTCCTAATAATCCTTTAGGTGAGTGTATACTCGTGTGTCATTTTCGTTTGTTCATTTTCGCATTATTATTCTTATTATAAGCCTGGAATGTCTAAACCGAGGAGGTTTAGACATTCCAGGCTTATAATAAGAATAATATAACTGTAATAATATAACAGTGTTTCTTATAATAAGAAACACTGCCTGTTTCAAGCAACGGCTCCCAAAGTATGTCCGAAAGTCCAAAGTAAGATAAGATACTCCTAAAATATGTTTTTTCTTTTGTTTCCCCGGCCTTTTAGTGATTGCTATAACCCCTTAATCTTGTCACAATTGTGATATATTAGTTACTTGGACTATCGTGTTATGTAGGAAGCTGTTCATGAAAACGGTGTTTGTTTTTTGGGATGGAAGGGATGAACATAGTAACACATTGTTTTCACTTATTGATGACATCATTCCCTTGGGCAGCAGGTACAGCAGATCCCGCCATAGTCGTTGCCTGTGTTGCATAGCGTGTTTGTGAATATGGGGGTGGAGGCATCAACATAGGGGTGTAATTAGGGGTGTGACGGTATTTATATAACCGTGAGACTGACGGTTATAGTTGAACACCGTCAATAGAACTCTATAACCGCCAAAACCGTGTTACTAAAATATTTCTTAAAAAAAAAAATGTATCATACATTTTTTAAATACTAATATTAGCTTACGAGGGAAACGGAGGCGGAGTTAGTGGTGCTTCGGAAGCTGCTACAGCTGGAGATGATTCGGGAGAGGTCTGTGGCCCTTTACCGATCAGAGCGCGCGCTGACACAGAGTAAAGCCTTGTTTATACTCGACGTGTCCGCAAGAACGGCAAGACCCCATTTCGCTTGGCTGTGTGCACGGCTTTTTTTTGTAACAGCGCGCGCGGCGCCTTATCCGAGGATTAACGATATCAAGCCGAATCTGCCCGAGCATGTACGTCTCACTGCACCGGCACCCAGTTTGCACGTCTAAATGGCAAAGTTCATTGCAAAGTTTTTTTTTGTTAAGGTTTTGTTTACTGTGTGTGATTCATTTAATGGAAAGCACATTCACTTCTAGTTAACTAATCAGTGTCTGGTCGTTCATTCAAACTAAGTCCTATAACAGACGAACCCCCCCCCCCCCCAATTCTGAAACCGGCACACCCCTAGGTGTAATCCTTTTGGGTAGGGGCGTGTTTGTTGTGGTGATTTCAAACATCAACAGCGTTTTACCAGAAATTGCTTACTGCACCTTTAAAACCATTTTTTTGTGTGAAAATACTAATGTCCCTTAGACTTTTACACAGTACTGGTATATGTGAAATATTACCACAAAATAGATTGGTAAACCAATATAAGAAGATATGTCTACATTACATAAGTTGGATAAGTTCTCGTTAGTTCAATAGCTTCCATTTTCAAATGAATGACTCATTAAGTGTTGTTTGGAACATACTTAAATTGAGGGTGTATTTCTCAGGGTCTCTTGGATACATCAGATGAAGAGCTGAACGATGACCTTTTGCGTAGCGATGATGAGAACGAAACTATGAGGTAGGGTGAACTTTTCCTCTTCCTGTAGCAACCTGGTCTATAGGTGAACTGTTGGATAAAGGTTGATTTTTGATGCGTCCCAGAGCCTTTGTTTCGACTAAGCTCTGCTCAGAGCAAACACTGTCGAAGCACATTGCACATAATGGGAATGTTGTTTTCAGAATGCCCTTATCTTGCTCTTTTTTTTTTTTTTTTCATCTGGCAAATTTCCAAACAAGAATTACGATGCTGTACTTAGAGAATACTGATTTCCCGACATGGCCAATAATCTTAATACTTCATTAAAATGGACATGTATCAATAATTTTTTTTGAACAGTTATATTTGCATTGTGGTACATTTGACAGGTTGTGTTTTCTTTTCAGATGTCAGGATGAAAGTGTTTCTAAACCAAAAGTGCAGGCGATTGCAAAGCCTTACCTCGTGTGTGAAACTCCACACCTTGCTGAAGACCAAACCATATGTCCTAAAGAAGAGCAGACAGAGGTGGACCCTGGTGAAGTTTTAGACATCGAAATCAATGCTCCTTCTGGAGATGAATTTCAAGTGAGTTACCCCTTTATCTCTTTAGATAGCATTGGTTTGTCGTTTTATTTTTTTCCTTCCCCTCCTTAAGCTCTTTCGGTGCTTTGGAATTGTCTCCCTTGAGGGAGGGAGGGAGTGACAGGGAGGTGAAATTAGATCTATTATCACTCTCTAGCAGTTTATTTGTCTGTGCCCTGACAAAGTTAGTGCTGACAGCTTGTTTGGTGGAAGGTAATGCCCCCCTGTTGTCTCCATGGCAGAACTGAGCTCTGACCTTGAGGCCCGCATCCCTGCGGAAAAGAACCTTTGTGTTGTAGGAGAGACTCCCCGCCAATTATCAGCCTCAGATAATGCATAGGCTTCTATCAAGCCGTAAACCAAATCTGATAATGTCCTGTGTAGGTGAAAAGATTATTGACCCTTTAAAAGATATCTGTGTGACTTAAATATGGAGGATATAACTGATACTCTTCTCTTATTTTCCTGTCCACCAGAGAAAGAGATTATCCCTAATAATGGTGTGATACGTGTTGTGAAGTCAATGTATCATTATTTCAAGGACGTCTAAGACATTGCTGAATAAAGGCTTGCCTTTCATTGTAGGAGGAGATACAATCTTTTCATAAGTGATTGAGAGCAATACAAAATAAGGTCAAATAAGCTGTCATTGGATAACCCAGAGTGAGTAATTCAATGGTAATGCTATTGAATATGTTAATCAGATACAGGGACAGCTCTATCCAAATGTCAGCTGATTAGATGTTCAGATGATTAATCAATAAAACATAAAGCCTGTGATGAAACACTGTTATGTTTTAGCAGGAAGTTGGTGACTACAGTGACCATCATCAGCAGGCCAACATAAAGATGGATTAAATATGGATGGTTTTGTCCACTTTACACATTAGGGCTCAACGCTAAGGATTTTTTTTACTGGTCCGAAGGGCCAGTGGTTCAGATTTTTACTTGCCCTGACAAAATTTTCACCGCAAAAAAGTAATTAATTAATTAATTCAGTTAAAATAGTTATTGTTTTCATTGTGTTTGACACATGAAACCTTAATAAATAATGTTATGACACCAAATTTCAGATACCAGTGAAATTTCACAATTCTCGATTCCAATTTTGATATCACAGCAAAAACTACTTGCTTAACAAATATACATTTCATAAATTAAGAAAGAAAAGCTAACAGTCAGTAATAAAATAAGAAAAAATAATAGCAATAGGACAACTAAATACAATAGAACAAACATACAAATGAATTTAAATAGTGCTTCTCAGGTTGGTCTAAAGTCTCACACACCGTGCGAACACCGCACGTTCTCTTTTGTGTCTTCTTTCACTTGAATATTTATACTGGCAAGGCTTAAAAACGTGCAAATGATAAACTTTTGTGACGCTGCAGCACTGGTCCGATCAGGCAAGGACAGCTACCTCAACCATCATTGACACTGGCCCCGGGCCATCGGGCGGTGCTTTTTGTCGAGCCCTGCTCGTGCAGGAGTAAAAAGAGTTATTTTATGTTTTGGTATTTCAAAAGAGAAGGTGAATTTAAAGTACATAGACGCCAGGCCTACTAATTACAAAATTAATAATTTGAAGGCGAAAAAAAAAATATGGTTCCAAAGTTTGTGGTCTGGTCAGTAATTTTTTTTTGTTGTTGAAAGAAATTGTATTCAACAAGCATGCATTAAATGTGTCAAAAGTGACAAAGACTTTTACATTGTTACAAAAGATGTCTATTTCAAAATCAAATAAATGCTGTTTTGAACTTTGTATTCATCAAAGAATCCTGAAAAAATACATTACAGTTTCCACAAAAATATTAAGCAGCACAACTGTTTTCAACATTGAGAATAAAAAGAAAAGTTTCTTGAGCACCAAATCAGCGTATTAGATGGATACGTGAAGGATCATGTGACACTGAAAACTGGAGTAATGATGCTGAAAATACAGATACATTACATTTTAAAATATATTTAAATACAAAACAGGCAATTTAAATTCAAATGAGTGCAGCCTTGATGACCCTTGCAAGAGGCATCATTAAAGGGGTCATATAATGGTACATGCACTTTTACAAGTTGATTGTACTGAAATGTGTGTTAGCAGTGCCTGTACACAACCATCATATAATGATAAAAATCCATCCAGTGGTTTTGTTTTAATCTCCTTATATGTTTTCCCCTGCCTCAAATCGAGCCGTTCGAGCCTGTGACGTCACAAGCTCGCACGCCCCTCCCACGATTGTTGATTGACAGGAGCGTTTCAACACAGACCCGCCCTCGCTCATGAGGGAGCTGTCAATCATAGTCTGCGCGGACCGGCGCGATATGCTAGAGCACTGTCTATGAGCAGAATGGCGTCTAAGCGATTGTGGTGTTCTGTTCTTGGGTGTAATAACAAACACAGCAGTCATTTTAATGTTCCTAAATCCGAACCGCTGAAGACGCAGTGGCTGTGTTTGTTTTCGAAGGGAATATTCCCCACAAGCAACGTTAATGCTTTCATGTTTGCGCGAATAATTTCACACACCAGACTGCTTTATAAACGAGGATCAGTATAAAGCTGGATTTGCTAAGAAGCTGCTCATGAAAAAAGGATCGGTACCAGATATTCGTGTTCCTGCTGAATCTCCAGAAGAACGGAAGTGAGTGTAACGTTTTATTAAACTTTATATTAATATATTAATCTTTGCAAATCGCTAGCTGCACGCTTCACAATGAATGCGTCTAAGGTTTACACTCAGGGTACATTACGGCATGTTTTCTATGTGATGTTCTCAATATAATTCATAATCCCACGTTTATACTGAACAACGCGTTATGGTTATTGTGTTACAAACGGTGTATGCACAGAACAGAGAGGCGGGGTGAGCAAAGCTCATTATCATTTAAAGTCATATGCACTGAAACGGCGTGCTGAAAACAGAGCTGTTTTTGACCAGGTAAAATAAGTGTTTTCTTACAATACTAATGAGAATTTTTAATTAAAGTATATTACAAACTTTTAATTTAGACCCTAAAGAATCATATTAGCTTGTACAAAAATGGCATTATATGACCCCTTTAAAAAAAATTACTGATCACAAACTTTTGAATGGTAGTAGTGTTGTTGCTGGGTTTTTTTTTTTTTTTTGCAAAGGATTGTATTTCACACTTGAGATCTGGATGTTAAAGGTGCAAAGTAATTTCTCCACTTAATAAAGTTTAAACCTAATGAAATTACCTACCTTGTGGTGCCTGCCATATTGAGCATCACATGACAAGCCAAATACTGCTAACTTTATCTTTGTAACCCCATATTAGCTGACACTTTCATTAGTAATGGGTCTCAAGTACACCTGTGGGTAAATAAGGTATTTCTGTTATGATATTGACAACCAAAAACTTTTGCGCTTTTGCCAGTATAAAGTCCAAGTCCACTTTTGTAACAAATGTCATGTCTTGTCATCTGCCAGCCTAACCATTTAGTTTGCTAAATAGATGCTGATATCTTAAATCTTCAGCTAATTGGATCCGTCTGTCACCTTTGACCTACCGCTCTATGTAGTAGCAAGAAGCTGTTAGCCTAGACTGTAAACATAAACATACACCTGCGGTACAGATGGTGTCTGCTGTTAGGTTTACAGTCTCTGTGCACAGAGTGTTAGCCTCCAATTGTGGCTCTGAGCTGCATTGTTTGTGTCAGGAGTAGAGACACAAAAGGGACCGGGGGGCTTTTTTTTTTTAAGCTAAGAAGGGGTTGTGCTTGTGGGGGCTGGGATTCCCATCGGCACTCTGGTCACTTCTCAGTTTTGAAATGCAAGCTGACATAATTTTAGCTCTGGAGCCTATTCAGCAGTTTTCTTTAATGCTTGGTCATGCGCTATTCTAGCTTTACAGAGTAAGGTAATCCAATGGAAAATCATGTTGTTTCCTGTTAATTTTGTTATTTTGTAAAAAAAAATGTTCTGGGCTTAATTTGCTTTTTTTTTCTGTTTGAGTGCTTTGTTGGCCAAAACTGTAAAAAAAAAACTATTTTGGAAGCGATAAAGAGAACCTAACCTTTACAACTTTCAGATGTAGAAAATAGAAAAAATGAATAAATGGTTTTAAAACAACCATTTCACTCGCACCATTCGACTCTTGATCTAGTGCACACCATGCACTGTACATTTCCAAGTATAAAAACCTTAGGGGCAGCTCTAGCAAAGCTCAATTGACATTTCAGTTTATGTTACAAATGTAATTTGCATTTTGTCAGAAGTTATGACCCTGTGCAGCACCCTATTTCCATTAAAAGGATGTGCTCCCTACCTACTGATTGGAGATGTCACCCGAAACCATTCTGTTACGCAGAGCAGTGAAATTGATTGTGACACATAGTGTGAAGGAAATAATTGCTGATTCATAGCCTGTTGAGAGGAAGACAGGTTAAAATGGAGGGTTCGATATGATGCTTGTTGTATAGATTTCACAACCACCATTGCTGACCGTTAGTGCGGCAATGGCTCAGGTTTTCAGTGCTGGTCAAGTTCTTCAGCAGTTTATGTACAGTTTTGTCACCATTCATTTTATGGCAGGGGTGATCTGTGAGCAATCTACATCACATCAGGATGTTTTATTTAGGTTCTTTTTCTTTATGTTTTGTGGTTGTTTGAGAATAGTGCAGAGTGGAACCGATCGACTTGAAGCAGGGCTGCTTTGGTAAACAGGGATCTTCTGCTTTGAAATGAAAGACCTTGGGGTTAATAGACAGACAAGAGAATGGGGGATTGATACACACTCCATACTAACATAATCAACACACCCCCAGTCCCAGCAGACCAGCACTCAATGGGAATTTATGAATTTATTAAACATAAAATGCCTATCCTGCCAACTATTTGCATGTATTAACTTTAGTACATGTAATTGTGCATTTTCATTGGCAACTGCAAGAATGAGCGTGTGTATGTATAGATTAAAAAAATGTTTTGGTCTTTTTGTCAAGCGAGTATGTGAGCTTGGTGAGTTTGCTTTACGAAATTATTTCA